TATCCAATCCATGAGCAACTAATATTGAATTAATTATTCAAAACATAACTACAAAACGCGAATCAGGTCTCTATATTCACCCGTGCAAGAGTGAAAGTAGCCAAGCAGGGCAACCTAAAAACAAATGAGCTCCCTACATTTCAGGTATTGGTGAGAGAAAGGTCACACTATATGATTATAATGATCATTTACACATAGGACATTTAAAATATGAAGATACATATAATATAACATTTTATATATACTATATATACAGAAATAGTCAGCCCATAGGTCATTTATTTTATATAAAAACTTTTAATTAATTCCTCAAAATAAATGTTTAATATATCATGGCCGAAACCTCGATTACTAGCCCGTAGGCCCAATTTAGTTTTATTCAGCCCGTAGGCCAAAAAATAGTTTAACCAGTCAAGAATTTATTACGTAGTATTAATTTTTTTATTCAATCCTTAGGCCACCTGACCCTATACATGTGTTGTCACCCGAATAAAAACCTGAGATTTTCAAACCACTCGCACTTGTCTGCCCGTACTACATTCCCGTCGTAAGGTAAAGCCTTTCAGAGACCTATGTGCTACCGTCGGTATACACCCTTTGTCTGATTACACCACAAGTCCGTGTCACCCCCTTCACAGTCCTCGCACCTACGCACCTATGCGCAGACACTACGCTAGGTATCTAGCTAATTATCTCAAAGTATTCCTAATTTTACTGCGGACAACGCATAGACATGCTCGGCCACAAATAATGAAATTAAGTCTGCAGACTCCTTTTAGGCACGTATTGTCTTCACAGATTCCATTCAGGCACGAACGGCGTACCGTGAACTGTGTTCGTATCGTACCTAATTAACCACAACTATAATTCCTAATAAGTAGTATAAATTAAAAGTCCACTACATCCCTAGTATTTTATTTTGACAAATTCTACTAGATTCTATGCAACAAATAAAAAATGTACATTTAACAAATAATTTTTTAATTATTCAAAAATATTATTTTTGGCTAGGTAATCATATATAGAAATACACATATTTTTAAACGGTTTCATATATTTTGCCTAGAAACCTAACCAGTCCCAAGCCTACATAAGTATTACTCCCTCTGTCCCAATTTGATAGTCTTGTTTCTTTTGGGCACAAAGATTAAGAAAGTCTTATAGAAAGACTAAACAACCTTATTTTATTGTATTGTTCATCCTTTTACTTTTACCATTCATTAAAAAGAAGGGGTATAAATGCTAATCCACTTTTAGTTCTTTACGATAAAGGGAAACAAGACCATCATTTTGGGACATCCCAAAATGGAAATACAGGACTATCATTTTGGGACGGAGGGAGTACTTCGTATATATACTCACTATTACGGGTTTAGTGCCCTTGGGTTAAATCCTACCTACTCACATTAGTTCTGGTATTCTTACAATTATTTTATTATTATTATTATTATTATTATTATTATTATTATTATTATTATTATTATTATTATTATTATTATTATTATTATTATTATTATTATTATTATTATTATTATTATTATTATTATTATTATTATTATTATTATTATTATTATTATTATTATTATTATTATTATTATTATTATTATTATTATTATTATTATTATTATTATTATTATTATTATTATTATTATTATTATTATTATTATTATTATTATTATTATTATTATTATTATTATTATTATTATTATTATTATTATTATTATTATTATTATTATTATTATTATTATTATTATTATTATTATTATTATTATTATTATTATTATTATTATTATTATTATTATTATTATTATTATTATTATTATTATTATTATTATTATTATTATTATTATTATTATTATTATTATTATTATTATTATTATTATTATTATTATTATTATTATTATTATTATTATTATTATTATTATTATTATTATTATTATTATTATTATTATTATTATTATTATTATTATTATTATTATTATTATTATTATTATTATTATTATTATTATTATTATTATTATTATTATTATTATTATTATTATTATTATTATTATTATTATTATTATTATTATTATTATTATTAGAGGTGTTTACCTAAATAGGAGTAAATCAATTATTAATTGTCAAAATAGGATCAAAGTAAAAAAAATTCCTAAATGGGAGTTATAATCTGTAATCGGACAAAAATGCCCTTGATGCTTGGAAGGGATACTGCTGCGACCAGAAGAATACAGGACCACACTGCCTAGCTTTCGCTGGTCGCCGCCACTCGCCGCCGGTCGCCGCCGGTCGCCGCCGGTTTCCGAACATCACCGTCACCTCAAAAACTAGCCGCCGTTATAGATCTGGACGCCTACGATGCAGATCTGGCTAGCGTCACCAGAGATTTGGACAACTCTAGCCTCCGTCGGCCGCTGCCCCTGTAGATCCGGCCACCGTCACACCATATCCGGCATCTACTGCTGCAAATCTGACCTCCTCAGTTCCAGATCTAGGTGTTGTCGGTGTGAATGCCAAGGTTTTTATCAGAATGTCATATTAATGGCATTTGCAAAGGAAAATACAAATTTTTTGAAGACAAGGAATGCCATTTTGATGGCATTTTTAGAGTTTAACTTGGCATTCTGTAGCAATCAAAGAAGAAACGGAGCATGGAGAAGAAGAATACCATCTCCGACATCGGCGATGGTGGATTTTGCGACGGCGGTGGTGGCGGACTTCGCGACGTTGGCTGCGATGGAGAAGCCTAAGGACAGAAGATGAGCATGTGAGGGCGGAGGTGGGCTTCACTACCGGGCTTCTAGGTTCGTTCATGGCAAAGGGGAAGGAGAGAAGATGAGCGAGAATAAATAGCAGGGGAGGAAGATGGTGTGCGCAGGGGAGGAGATGGTTGATGGTGTGAGAAGGGGATGAAGATGGATCGATGGTATTGGTATGCGCAGGAGAATTAAAGGGGAAGAAAATAGGGGTAAATAGGTATACTAGTCCTATTTGGGAATAAAATTATAAATAGTCCTATTTAGGAATTTCAAGAATAATTTAGTCTCATTTGAGGCAAAAATTCCTTATTATTATTATTATTATTATTATTATTATTATTATCGTCGTCGTCGTCGTCGTCGTCGTCGTCGTCGTCGTCGTCGTCGCCGCCGCCGCCGCCGCCGTGCACCACCACCACCATCACCATCACCATCATGACCATCATGAGAGTAATATTTACTTGATGAAATTTTAAATGTAAAAATTTTCTTTTATTTGATAACAGTTGATTTATTGAAATATATTATTGGGATGCGATGTTACCGAACTTCTAATTGTTTGCCCAAGATTTTAGAAAGACCCAAACTTAAAAAATAATCTTTTTACACGTTTGCTCATCTACTCTCTCTCCTTCTCTCTCCTTTGCAGGTAGCCGTTTCTCTGTGAAGAATAGATATGGCTGGTCCAGCATTTCCTCCACACTTCACAGAAGTTTCCCCCCGACCTCTTGACAAATGAATGTTTCGTGGAAATTTTTACCCTTATTCTCAATAACCAGCCCAATGCGTTTCTTACTCCAACAGAATGTTTTGGTACCCTGTATTATGTAGGAGACCTAGTGGATGCAAATCTAGTTAGTTTATTGGAATCACATCCAATTTTAGGAGTCATATATAGTATTGGGGGTAACATCCCCGGTGACAGTTTCGTATATCAAAATTCTATAACAAGAAGATACAATGCCCCGCTTATGAGAAGATCATACGTGTTCCTGGTTATAATAAACCAGTATCGTGAAGGTTTTGCTGGAATAGCACGAAAGATAATAAGTCTTGATTCTGCCACTTATTGGAAGCTCGTCATTACAATCAAAATCAGGCTGGAGCTATTCGCCCGAGTGCGTGTACAAGGGCAAGAAATCGTGTCAACCGTGGCACACAAGAGACTGTGGCGAACGTTCAAATGCTTTCGAGGTGTCATGGTTGATAGGCTAAGTATTCAGGTGTATTGGAAGTGCCAGCATTTTCAAACCTGGGACCTAACAATTAGTCGGTCGTTCTAGACAGCTGGTTAGCAGAGGAAAACAGGATGAGCAGCCTCATCGAAAAACTGGACGAATTCCTCGAGAACAATGCTTATAAGTAGTTATATATTAATTCTAAAAAAATAAAATCAAAAGGACTTTAAAATATTGATTCATGTTTTATTTTCTTTAAGGAGGTTTGGGGAGCTGAACTAAAATAAATAGAAGACTTTGAGTGTAAGACATAACCTAAAACTCATTCCAAATATGTGAATTTGGTAACATGATTATACTCATTTCAAGTTGGGTTTTAGTAGTTTAACTATTTTAAGTTAGTTTTGTTGGTATGTGTTGAGTCCTTTTTGCCTCAATATGCTTAAGGGCTTACACTTCACTTCTTTGAAAAAAACCACCTCGATACCTGAAATAATAATTTGGAAAAGGACTCAAACATACCAACAAAACAAAGTTAAAATAGTAAACTACTAAAACCCAACTACAGATATGCATTAGTGAAATAAGTATAATCATGTTACCAATTACACATATTTGGAATGAGTTTTAAATTATGTTTTACACTAAAAGTCTTCTGTTTATTCTAGTTCAGCTCCCCAAACTTCCTGAAAGAAAATAAAACATGAATCAATATTTTAAAGTCCTTTTGATTTCATTTTTTTTAGAATTAATATGTAGCTACTTATAAGTTCTCAAGGAATTCATTCCGTGCTTTGATGAGGTCTCTCATCCTGTTTTGCTCTGCTAATCAGCTGTCTAGAGCGACCGGCCAATTGTTAGGTCCCGGATTTGGAAATGTTGGCACTTCCGGTACACCCTACATATTTAGTCTATCGACCATGACACCCCGAAGCATTTGAGCGTTCGCCACAGTCTCTCGTGTGCCAAGGTTGACACGATTCCTTGCCCTTGTACACGCACTCGGGCGAATAGCTCCGGCCTGATTTTGATTGTAATGGACGAGCTTCCAAAAAGGGGCAGAGTTAAGGCTTATTATCTTTTGTGCTATTCTAGCAAAACCTTCACGATACTGGTCTGATCTTTTATAACCAGAAACACGTCTGATCTTCTCCTAAGCGGGACATTATATCTTCCTGTTATGAAATTTTGATATACGAATCCGTCACCGGGTATGTTACCCCCAATACTATATATGACCCCTGGAATTGGATGTAGTTCTAATAAATTCACTAGATTTGCATCCACTAGGTCTCCTACATAATACAGGGTATCAAAATATTCTGCTGGGGTTAGAAACGCACTGGGCTGGCTATTGAGAATAAGGGTAAAAAATTTCGCGAAATGTTCATTTGTCAAGAGGTCGGGGGATAACTTCAGTGAAGTGTGGTTCTGGTTGTTGTCTTGTTGAGAAGAGGTTTCACTCTTTTGCTAAGAAAGTCGTGCAATTCATTTGTTGCTCAATTAATGATTGAAGCCATGTGGATCAAGGACATTAAATGTAGATCCATACAGAATATTGCTTTGTTTAAAAGATAGGTACGATTAAGCAATGGGTTTGGTAGATTGTACATTAACATTTATTGTATGTTGCATTTTTTGTTCAAACCAATGCCTCATTGGTTGTCTTCTGCATTTTCCAGGCTTCCCTTACTGACCCTTCATCATGCTGATTTTCTCTTAAGTCATCATCTTCTTCTTCTGTCAAATCAAATGCTTCTTCCCCATCTATGGAAATGATCTGAAGCTTGTATATTTGAGCACTGCATTTATGACCCGGATAGTACCCTTCATCACAGTAAAAACATAGGTTTTTCCTTCTTCTTTCTTCAATATCTCTAGCAGACAAGTTCCTTCTTACCTGATTATGTACTCCTTTTTTCTCTCCCACCTGAGTAATGGATTAATGGGTTTTGGCAGTAGTCCTTTGACATTCTGAGAGACAACAGATCTATATGGAGGTAATGTAGGTTTTTCAATATTTCTGTAAACCGGTTTATCCCCCTCTCCTCTTCCCCATTTCTTCAAGGCATCCAAGCTATTTTCTTGCAACCGGGCATATTCCATGGCCTGCATCAAGGTTCTTGGTTTGAATGCTTTCACAAAGGACTTAATAGTAGGATTAAGTCCTCCAATGAAGCTATCCAAAAAAAATTCTTCAGGTAGCCTTTCAGTTCGCTGCAGTAATAAACTTCTCAGTTGTTCAAATTGGTCCATGTATTCGTCCAATGATCTGAACTGTTGAAGTTTATTGAATTCTTTAGTTACTGTACTCCCCAATTCTTCATTAAACCGTGCACAAATATCCACCACAAATTGTTCCCATGAAACCTTCTTATGCACGTAAATATAGCTAGTAAACCAAGATTCAGCACGTCCAGACAAATATAAGGATGCTAAGTCTACCTTCTGGTTGTTACCAATAGAACAAAGCTCAAAATATTTTGCACATTTTTGAATCCATTGACGGGGATTAATTCCAGAGAAGTTGGGAAATTCAATCTTGGATTACCTGAAGTTGGGAGTTCTAGCATGATTACCTGAATTTGGTTGAAAATTTCCGTCGCCAGGGTTTGAAAAGTGCACAGTGAAACTGGAGATCGTATGGATGAATCTTCGATTCAGAGAAGCTCTGATACCAATTGTAATGATCTAGGCTGAATAAGCGAAAATCATTAAAAGCAAATAGGAATTCTAATAGTAAGAATAGAATTCGAATTAGGATATTCACAGACTTAGCAAGATGAAGAAGAAGATTGATATCAAATATTTCAGTCATATTACAACCCATGCGTATGATTTTAGGAGGGGTTCGGGTGCTGCTATTTTTGACTGGGAAGAAGATATTTTGGGGCGAGTTGGTCAAGAGAAGAACAGAGCAGGGAGATGCGGTTGTCTGAGAAACAAAGCATCAATTGAGGAGTTGAAGATTTTAGATTTACATATGCACAGTGAACTACAAAGCATGAAGATGATCAATCAGAATGAAGCAAAAGAAAAGCATTTTTGGAAGAAAATGTGTGTTGTGCTTTTAATTTTATTTGTTGGTACTGTTATGATAAAAAAATGTAATTGGTAGAGAGATTAGTTCATAGACTAGTTTGTGGTCTATGAAATTATGTTGAATTATGGTAATGAACGGGGTGTATGTTGCTGCTGGTTGTTATTGATAATGTTGCTGGTTTTTTGTTTGTCATATTTGTCCATTTTGTTTATCAAAATGTTGTTGCTACTACTGAAATTAAGTTGCTGGTTTATGGTTTATCAAAATGTTCTATTTCTTTTTGTCTAGGTTGGCTTTGTTATTACAAAAATTAAGTACCAGGCAATGTGAATGGCTAAAAGTTGCTGTAACGAACTCCATGTTGCACATTTACTAATGTGTAAGTAATTATTATTTGCTGAAATGAACTCCAGGTATTGCTGTACCGAATATGGGAGTGAAGCAATAATAAAACTTCCTTGAAGGGAAAGTATAGAAAAGAAAAGTGAATGGAACTAGTATCTGCTTTTGAAGCCTAATAGAAAAGTGTCTACAAAAGTTCAGAACAGAAGTTCAGAACTGAATGACATGCTGAAACATTTGTAGAGGAGATAGTAACTGACTAAAACAACTTGTCCTGTTATTATTTGGGTCCCACCCCTATTGATGTCACTCAGCAATACTAGAAAATACTTTGTGCAACTCCATGTTACACATTTACTTACTAGAAAAATAACCAAGCACATGGCTAAAACTCGCAGGTGGAACTCCCTGTTGCACACTTGCACAGTTGCACATGCACTTGAAAATTAACTGATCAAATGACAAAAACTTGCTGAAATGAGCTACCCATTGCACATTTATTTGAATTTTAACCAAGAAAATGGCTAAAAATTTCTGAAATAAACTCCCTGTTTCACATCTATCTATCTTAAGCAGTGTTTGTGTTTGTTTTAAAAAAGTGCTTTTCAGCTTTTGGCTTAAAAAAAGTTGAAAAGAGTGTTTTCAAATGACAGCTTCTGCTTAAATTAATCACTTAAAAGCTAAAAGTTGGAAGCAGGTAGAAGGGTGCTTTAAACTGCTTCTCACTATTTCTATTACACAAAAAGTACTTATTTTACCAAACACTACCAACTTTTATTTTTTCAGAATCATTTTTTTCTCAAACACTACCAACTTTTACTATTAATCACTTTTCCCAAAATCACTTTAAAAAATCACTTTTTTAAAGTTGAAGCAATTGCAAACACTCCCTTAATATAATAACAAAAGGATTCTTGGGGAACAAGTTCCTACCAAAGCACATGGCTTGATGCTCAAGGAGTATCTGTCATGCATATAATGTTTAATACTCCCTCCGTCCCGTTGGAATGTTTCGGCTTTCCTTTTTTGGATGTCCCAAAGAGAAGTTCTCATTTTCCTAAATGGAAAGTTATTCTACATCAAAACAGTGTCAAACAGTGCAAAACAGTGCTAAACAGTGTCAAAACAGTAAAATTTACCCCTGGTAATTTTATTTCATTAATATGTGTGTAGGTCAAACCGGGAACATTCCAACGGGACGGAGGAGTACTTTGTTTTGTCTGGCACACTACTTGAAGTCGGTTTAAAAAAATTTGGTGAAATATTTTTCAGATTGGCATAGAAACATGTGAAGGAATACATTATTTATGGATAAAAAACATCTGTGATGCATAATGCATTTAATGATAACTACTCAATTGAAGTCGGTTTAGAAACAATCTGGTGTAATACTACGTAATATTTTTGTCATAGAAACGCGTGAAGGAATATCTAGGCATCTAGCGCACTAAAAATATTTTTGCCGGTTCTAAAAAAATTAAGGGTCTGTTAGAGATATTTTCGTGTTTTGTGTGAGTATGAGTTCCGCTATCTGAGTTGTCGTATACCTTGAGTTCCCTGCATGTTGTGTGATCACCATAGTTCTGATTGTATTCCAAAGCTTGAGGTTGTATTTAAAATGGTTGGCATGTGGAGTTTGATCAGCAAAATCAATCAGAATAAGTCAACTTGGGCTGTCAAGTGCGTGTATGCATGCAAGGTTCCAGCAAGCGATAAGCATAAGTAGTCTTTGGAATGCATATTTCATTATGTTGAGGTGAATAGCTTTATTTTGATTGTTTTTTTCGAATTTTTTGATGTAGTTTACTGATTACATTTTTCACTATATGGAGTATCATTTAATTGTTATTTTGCAGGGCACAAGGGTCCATGCTCACATTGTTCGATCTAGAACAAGCTGACATCAGACTATGCTACATCGAAACATAAAAAAGAGTTGAATAAAAAATATCTGAAATGAGTAAAACGTACTAAAAGTCTAGGTTAATTTGAGAACCGACTGAGAATGAAGAGTACAAAGAATTTAGTTGTGCAGGTCGGCTGTAGGTTGAAAGCTTTTATATGGGCTTATATAATGTTTCATACTTCGTATTACGGATGAGTATTGGTTTTTAATATGCTATTTTGAAACATTTGTGGAACAATTTAGTAAATTTTCAATTTTTAGTACACCGGTTACTAAATTTTCAATTTTTAGTACATTTTCAATTTAAATAAGCAAAATCAGCCAATGCAGCCACTTCAGCCAGAATATCATAAATTTCAGCAGAATCAGCCAAAATAGCCTATTTTGGTGCTACCAAACGGGCTCTATAAATAAGAACCAAAGGACAATCTTTTGCGCATGTGGGATTATTGAAGAAACCGGTTTTTAGTCATGAGCAATTTTTAGAGTTACCAATCCTACTGAAAACTTTAATTTTTGACGACAATGAGAAAATCACAAATGTGACCATAAATGTCGTGTACAATGAAGTGTTTCAGAATTTGTAATTTTTTACATATTATTGTGTGTTAATTTTACTTCGATTTTCTTGGTGATCATCAATCATGAATAGTAACTATTTGATATACCTCTTTTGGGATAAACATTTTTTACCTATCACAATTTCTAAAATAGGTGAAATAAACTTCCAGTTGGAGATTTAATACATAACTAACCAAATTGAAGTAACATATTTAAATTCATAACACAAAAGTACATATAGGACAGTGAGTTCATTTAAGAGATGAAGTCTAATGACATGAACATGTTGAATACATTCAAGGTAATCCAACCACTTAACTGACAGTCTAAGACATTGTAGATGCAAATATTCAGCTCTTAACAAATGAGTTGAAATATATAAAACACCCAAAAAAGGCTGCAACTCAAAAAAGCTAGCCGGTTATTCCAAAATTTTACATAAGTTATACACACAATACGCTACCTAATACATTTATTCTACTAAATCTTCACTTCCCGATGCTTTATTAGCCACATCCCTACCAGGTCTTCCTCTTCTGCCAGCTCTTTCACAATTACCGATTTACCGCCCCTTCCTCCACTGCCACATCTTCCACCTTTGCTTCTTCATCCGTCCTTAACTAGGGGTGGGCAAAAAAAACCCTAACCCACTAACCGTATCGAATAACCGAAAAACCGGTGTGTGTTTCGGTTAACCATACCGTATTTTTACAAATTCGCGGTACGGTTAACCAACTGAAAGAAAAGAACGGGGCATGCCAGTTACGGTTATCAAATAAAATTACCACCGGTTAACCAATCATCCAAAGTTCAAATATTATTTCTAAACTAATTCCACAGTAAAAAACGATTACATGAGTATGGATTGTATGGTGGCCTATTGGGAACGACAACGTGTGTTACTAATTTATTACGGAGTATTATTGAGTAGTACGTCGATTAATGTCGAGCAAAAAGCCAAAAAGTGGTGGGATAGGAGTTAAATTATTATTGGTTGATCAATAAATTAATTATTTTCTCATACGGCACAATCAGTTGATGAATAAAAACACGGCGCAATGCATAATTAATACTATACGGAGTACATGCATAATTTGATTCTCACATGAGAGTGAATCACTGGGACTAATTGGATGAGCGACGTAATAATAGGACTGTTGACGTATCTTTTGTTGTTTAAATGGTTTGTAGTTAACCGACTCGATTAACCGAAGTAAGCGGTTTCTCGATAAACCGGAAAGTTGGTTAACCAAAATCCGGTTTACCAACCATGCCCACCCCTACCCTTAACGGATGACCTGCTACGTACTCCAAGGGAGGCGCCGCATCGGCCGGCATACAACGGCCAGCATGCATCGGCCAGCAACATTTCGGCCGCGACGCATCGGCTGGTGACACCATCGGCCCGTTGTACATTGTCCAAGGAAGGCCCGTTGACGCCCTCGGCCACAACGATAGCCGACTGCTCCCCCATCAGCTTGCAATGCAACGGTCTGCGCCCGTCAGCCGTCACCCATCGGCCAGACCGCATCGGCCGGCCAGACCGCAGCGCCCGTCAGCCGGCACACCCATCGACTGACAACACATCGCCCATTATCCATCGGCCATCATCCATCGGCCATCATAAGCCAGCAAGTTGGTCCGATGCAGTACCCTTCATCTTGGGACCACCAACGTCCAAGCGTCTTCGGCCAGAACATAGCAACAACAAAAACTGGGCAGGCTTCGCCCAAGCTAACCGCAGAAAAGCCAGGACACTGCATCGGCTTACCCAAGGTTTTAAATGGCGGCCCGCTACCGCTATAGCGGCCGCTATATAGCGGTTGCGGTAGGGGCCGCTACCGCTACAGCCCGCTATTTCTTTTTGATTTCCAAATCACGGGGAAAATCCGCTACGTCGCCCGCTACAGCCCGCTACCGGCCGCTATCGACATTTCCAGCAGTACATCACGAACTGTTGCATGTGTAAATGTGTAAATGTTGTGTGAATGATGTGAAAAAACACATTAGTGAAACTCAAAATTAAATGTACATCTATCCACATACATTATGGTAGCAAATATTAATAAATACATGAATTACAATTATTAAAGCCGAATTAATGATTAATAAGGATGATTTATATTGGTTGACGAAATTGGAACGGAAATGATATTATTATGGATTATGCAAATGAAATTGGAAATGAAATGCAAATATGTATTATTATTATTAGGTAGATTCTATGGTACTCTTATGATATCATATCTTTTTCCACATGGACTAATCAAAATGATACGGTCGAATTATTTAAATCTAAATTAAAAAGGATATAATGATTGGACCAATCAAATGCATGGTAGCTACGATACCCCATTTTTTAAATGAGTACCGAAGTCATCACCTATTATTAATTTGGAAGTGGACTTAACATAAACTGTTGTATT